CTTCAAATCGCCAACATCTTTTTGAAGTGAATGTATCGTGATTTTAAAGGAATGATCGATTATTGCTCCTAGTGTTCAAAAAATCAAAGAATGATATCTCAAAGTTATTAAGTGCAACTCAATTATCACTATTAGAATTGAGCTTCACAAAGTTTTAGTCTAAAATGAGTTTAGCTAAACATGGATTAGATCATGCTAAGCATTTTGGTATGAAACATAAATGTAGAAAAAAATAAAACGTTGGAAAGAAAATAATACTTTAATTGAAAAATAACCAAAGAAATACAAATTCCAATTTGAGTTCAATTGTTGACCCTAAGAGGTATTTATACCCGAAAATCCATAAAAGATAAAATCAATAAAAAATAAAGATAAAAGTATTCAAAATAAAATCCTAAATTTTAAATCTAAAGGTTTATCACAAAAGATAAAGATAAAATATTTAAAACTTATGGCTCAGTCTGAATTCTGCTTTATCTTCCGGATAATATTCAATTATCTCTCAAGCATTTATCTTCAATAAAATCTCGAATTTATCTTCAAGATAATACGAGACCAACTTCTAAAAGCTACTGACTGTATCACCGAAATCTACTTTGTCGTGATCGAAAAATGTTGTGCCTTAGGTCGTACTCATGACTCCAACCATGACTCCCCAAAATGTTAAAAATTCTATCTTTTCACTATTAGCCTATTAATTCCAATGATGTCCCTGAACGAAAACAAGCCAAAACAAAAATAAATCAATGATATTTAATAAAAAAAACGAAGAGTAAATAACAAGAAAATTATGCAATATTCAATACTCATCATAGACAGATGATCTAAATAAGATTTAAAATATATAATTTAAGTCTAATTAAATTTAAGTATGAGTAAAATTAATAACATATAGATTTGGACACAAATGATAAGATTGCTTATTCTTTTTGTCTTTATTTTAAGGTTTAATATAAAAATAAGTGTTCTAATTATATTCAAAGTTAATTTTAGGTGTCTAGAGAATTTTTTGTTAAAAAAAAAATGTCTAATATTTTCTCTATCACACTTTTAACTGTCTATACCATAATGCATGTTACATTTGATTGTTAACCTACATGTATCGTATTTGTTTTTTTTAATTTATTTAAAAAATTAAAAAAAAAACTCTTTTTAAGAAAAAAACCAAAAGTCCCCTTCGCTATGAAATAACTCTTGTGCACAAACCCCACGCCCATTTGCCTGTGCATGCACAAACCCTTCTTCCCCTCGCATGCGCATCCCTTGTCATGGGCAAATATGAAATCCCTCCCTTGTTGCCCTTCAATGAATTTGGGATTAGGGTTAGGGATTTAGGTATCATGTTTAGGGAATTAAGTTTGAGGATTGTGATGGTGGTAGCATAGATGATCAACAATGCAAGTCTGATAACGAGTGGGTGACTATTCGACAATGATAAAGTCAGTTAGTGATGGTCGACAACACCTGATAAAAGAGTTGGAATGAAAGATTTTAAGTTTTTAGAGTTTTTTTTTGTAATTTAAGAAAATTAGGGTTTTTTAATTAATAATATTTATTTTTTTCTAAAATCTAAAATTTCAGAAAATATAAGTACGGCACATGTAAGTTAACGACCAAATTTAATGATAGTTATGACCTACACCAAAAATTGTAACGGAAAAAATATTAGACATCTATCTTTAACGAAAAATTCTTTAAGCACCTACATTTAATTTTAAATACAGTTTGAGCATTTATTTTTTTTTATTAAACCTTATTTTAATCCAAAAGTTTGTATTTTTTTAGAAAACAAATTTCCAGACAAACACATGTATACTAAAACCAATAAATGAAAACGGCGAAATATTAGCTTGCAGTCCATTTTCACTCGATGATAACATTTTTAGGGTAAAGTACACGTTTAGTATCTAAACTATTACTTTTATTCTGTTTTGATATCTAAACTTTCATTTATTTCAAAATCATACTTAACGTTTACTTTTATTTCATTTTGATACATTGTCTTTAAAAAATTAACGAAATTGTTGTCTTTTATGGGTAAATTACATCTGTCATCGCATGACCATCTTTTCACTCATATTTTGGTCACTAAAGTTTAAAAATTTTCAATGTAACTGCTCAACTTTCAAATTGATCATATTTTAATCACTCTAAATTATTTTATTAAAAATTTTTAAAGATAGAGTGATTAAACTAGGAGTAATTTGAAAGTTAAGTAATTAAATTAAAAAATTAAACTTCAGTAACCAAAATAGGATTGAGAAGATAGTTGAGTGGTGAATGAAGTAATTTATCCATAGAAAGTGTCATATTGTAACAATTTCACTAAGTTTTTAACGATAATGTACTAAAATGAAACAAAAAACAAACGTTTGGTATGATTTTGAAACAAATGAAAGTTTAAATATCAAAACAAGACAAAAGTAATAGTTTAGGAACTAAACCCGTAGTCTACCCCTTTTATAAAAAAAGGTTATGATCGACAAAATTAAAGATTTAAAATGCAAAATTCTAAATTTTTAAGAAAATTATATTCTATTTCATTCTGAATAATTTAATTATATAAATTTAATTTCAATTCTTTATATATATATATATACAATTCAAAGAAAATGTCTTAATATTTAAGGATTTTACAAGAAGTTCGACATTATTGAACCATAATCACTTGAGTATATAATAAATATAAATAAGCTTTTTTTAATATTTTAATTAAACAAATATGATTTTAATTTAAAATTTAATATCTTAGTACATTACTTTAAATTTTCATAATAATATAATATTTTATTATGTAATTTATAACAAATTTAACATATAACACTACAACACGGACCAAATTACTTTAGTGGTTAAAAAAATATTGTTATTCCTAGAGGTCTTGGATTCGAGCGTCAACGACTATAACATGGATGATCGAACGTTTATTGTCAAACAATTGAGAGTACTTAGAACAAATACTACTTTGCAGTCAACATAACTTAATAAAAAAATCATATAAAACTACAATATAAACATAAAGATACTAGGAATTGGTAAAGAAAAAGATTCTTTTAATTTAAAAACTCACTTAAATTAATATAAAATTAAATGAGTTTTAATAGTTAAATTATTAAATTATTAACCATAAAAAATATATAAATATATAAAACTCGCTAAATTTTCCAATAGTATAAATGAATATTTTCTTAACCAACTTGAGTAAAATAAAACTTAGGAGTAGCATTAATTTTAGGGTAAATTACATGTTTACCTAAACTATTAATTTTGAACCATTTTATTACCTAAACTTTTAATTTTTTAAAATCATGTCTAATATTTAGTTTTTATTTCATTTTAGTACCTCGTCAATAAAGATTGAACGACACTACATTTTTATGGGTAAATTATATAATTCATCACTTAATTATCTTCTCACTCTTATTTTGATACTAGTTTAAAAAATTTCAATTTAACTACTCGACTTTCAAATTGTTTTTATTTTAATCACTTTAATTTATTTTATTAATAATTTTTGTGACATGACATTTTTATTATTATATATATAATTAAAAAATAAAAAATAAAATAGGAGTAATTTGAAAGTTAAGTAATTAATTTAAAAAAATTAAACTTGTGACCAAAATAGAAGTGAAAAGACATTTGAGTGATGAATGATACAATTTATCCATAGCGCACAAATCACCCATTAAGCTTTTAATGGCGAAGTACTAAAACGAAAGAAAAACTAAATTTTAAGTATTATTTTAAAAAAATAAAAGTTTAAGTACTACAAGGAATCAAAACTAATGGTTTAGGTACTAACGCATAATTTACCCTTTGTTTTATACACTAATTAACCCGCAAATTATATTTTGGTAGTCATTTACAGATACGAATTAATTTAAATAAAAAAGTTAAAACCCAAACCTATATTTTAGGTTCAAACTTGACCTTAATAAACATGTGTTAATACTATAAACAAGAATAAACTGACGGAAGATACATGGTACAGTTATTCACGAAAATTCTAAATTAAATTTTAAATTACCATGTAATTTAGAATTTTTTTTTTATCTTCTATTAATAATTTATTTTTATTCTTAAAATTTTATAAGTCGTCCTTCCTACAATTTTATAAGATCACCTCAATATAAAATATTGAGTTTGTCCCTGACCATATATGAGTCAAATCGGACCCAACCCAACCTATAAACAACTTCAATGAAGTCTATACTAACCTAATATTCAAAAGAAAACTAAATAGATTTATGTTGTTTGGAGTATTCATTTCTTCAGGTATTTGTGCCTAAAGATATCCAAACATTGAGTATAGGGGTATCACACTCAAGACTAGACCCTCCAGATTCGTGTAATAACTAGTGATGCTAAGCAAAATGGCACATAATTCAAAGTATCACATGATCAAGAATGAAAACGGTGCACAAATAAATAGATATATACCTAAAAAATGAACTAAATTTTGTATGAATTTGAGAGCAACAGCTTTTAAGCATCAAATGAAGGGATTATCAAATAAGTTGAAGTAATTTACCAATTAGAAACCAGGAACAGGGGAACGTGTCCGAAACCTTTAAACCAGGTCCTGTGAACTGGCAATCTCTTAAAAGAGTTGCTTTATTAACGATGCAGAGCAAGCTCTACACAATCAAGTTCAATTCGATCAGCTTGCTCTGCTCAATGATGATGATGTATGCGTCTGTATGTGTAAAAAATAGAGTCCTGAACTCCGAAATTGCTTTCGAGACACCTGAAACAAAGTTAACATCAACATCTCAGTATTGTGGTACCGGAACCAGTGAAAGTCTCTCAACGGATTGATGAATAGAAAATAATACTTACTACTGATGCTTCCCATCATGGAACTGTGCATTCTTTGAAGACTTGAAAGTTTCTAAAAACTCTTTAGCCTTCTGCATTTCTTCCTTCTGCCTTGACTTGTCCCAATTGTGCTCGACAGCAAGTATTTCAATAATCCGTGGCAAGGCATGGCTTGCTGCATTGGTTTCAAGGAAAGTAAGGCGAGACGTCCTGGCAATGAAATCAACCGTAGATTCACAGTACTCGTTTCGAGCACAATATGCAACCTCCGCCTCCAGATAAGGGTACCCATGTGCAAACCTCTTACCCAAATTTTCATCCTGGAATTTCGAAGGCAGATTTGAAATTTTTAACCAACCAAGGAGGTATTGAAAATTGCAAGCTCCGAGACATGACATTTAAATAATCCCGAGCAACTGTAGGCTAGGTCACCGGATTAGACGATGGCACTTCTGGCGAAGAATTCAAGACTCTTGTACTAAAACTGTCATAGAATTGGTTCTATTAAAGCTAACGAGACTATTGCTCCTATGATAGATTACAAATAAGGTTCTTATATATATGTTGTTCAGATTCTTCATTCTTTTAAACAACTTGTGTTCAACAACTGTGTCTGCACGTATGAAAACAAGCGGATATGACCTTTAAAACAATCATCCAAATACATAAACAACTTAAAGAAAATGATTTGACTACACCCTTGATTGAAACATAAGATATTCAGAAATCTTACCAAAGCCCAAATAAAAGTGGACAAGAATTAGTGAATAAATTTGTTATGCGCAGAGACTGGAGAATTAAAGAGTATATGAGTGCTCCACAATTGCTTGTCTTATCCCTAGTAGCAGCCATGCTTGTCGTTTAAATTAGGAACATGCATGGAAACCTGATGACTGAGAAGAATTTGACATGTCGACACCAACTGATAAGGAACATAATCTAGATATTTCACAATATCATACACTACACAAATAAAACCAATGCATGACTCCTAGCATTATTAGGGGTGATTAAAACTAGATTAAACTTTAAACAATTAGAGAAAATTCAAATTGCAAGTTAACCGACTTGTGTTATTCCAGTTTTTCTAATAGAGTTATCTGATTTTTTTTAGTTCATATCAAGTTCAAATTGAAAAACAAATTGAAATACCCCTTGGGTCCATATCAATTTTGAAAATGTGATAACTAGTCTCTCACAACAAAAAATACAAAGTTTTTTTTTAAAGAATCCCAAAATTTCATAAAAGTTCCAAAAAAAGTTATATAATAAAAACTTAATTTTTTCCAGAATGATGAATTCGAGGCTTTTAAAAAATAAATTATCAAATCAAGTTTATCATATTAAAGTATCTTTTTTCTTTATTTTGAAATAGTTTTCAAATATATATTGTGTTAAATTTATTTGCTCATATCTTAGAACTTAGTCATATTGTCAGAAAGGTTTTACTTGACACTTTTTTTAATTTAATTCAAATAAATTTATTTGACTCGATTTTTATATCACTAGACTTGATTCGTAAAATTTTAAATTTGAGTTAGGATGATAAAGTAGGACATGTCAACTAGACTAATTCAAAACTTTTTTCAATCAATTCAATGCTCACCCCGCTGCACTATCCCCAGAAATCAATTATGAGAAGAAACTCGACATTTTTAAGTAAAATTTCAATTTATTTACTCTCTCATCAAGTAATGGCACAGAAATGCCTAAGAGGCTAAGACTATAATTCTTAGCTTATTTCTAGTAATTTATCTCCCTCTAAGAAGAACAAATTAACATAGTATCAAAATGAAGATCCTTGAAAGCTATTCAATTCATTATTTCTTAATACATTTGATTAATGTGGCGTTGTTATATAAATGTTCACTAAAATCGTTAAATTTTTCATTACTCGAATTCCAATGTGCAGTAGACAGTTGCAGAATTACCTCGTCACTGCAGCTTTTACGACCCATAATTAACAGTTATCATTATGAGAGCATAGCAAACCTGAGCTATGGTGGCTACTCGTTCTGCTAAGGTTCCATATGCATGAGACAAAATGCTTTGCAGCAGCAGCATCCATCACCCCAGAAACAATTTTACCATGCGACTTCTTCATGCGTACATATTGCTGTGCAAGAACAGTAAAAAGCGCGGGTTCCCATCCATCTCCACCAATCAGCCGTAGGTTGCTTGTTATACATCCATTGCTTGGGCTCAGTTTACCAGACTTGATAGCAGCATTAACTGCATCTTCTGCCATGCTGAAACTAGTTCTAGTAAGGCCACAACTCATGCCAGAAAGAAGACAGAGGGAAACGGATATCAACAGAACAAGATACCATGCCCGAAAATCAAGGAGTTCAGAGAATGTCTATCACTATTTCAATGCTATTTCATGTAATTCAATAGTTGGACTATACTCCAAATTTTCACTTCACGTTATAAGTTCAACAGTAGTCCAGCAAGATTTAGCAAAACCAGAGTCAATATTACCTTCGATAAGTAGTCCACTTCCCACCAGTGATAGTTACCAAACCAGGATAATCCTCAGAAACAACATTTTTTTTATAGGAAAAGGCGGCCTCGTTAAAAACCTCCTTCATGATTAAGGAACTCGGATTGAATTCCTTAATCATAGGAAGGAGGAAAAGAGTGCCATAAACTTTATTAATCAAGATACATAAGATACAACCTTATGATAAAATCCTTAGAAACACACCTAAACTCCAGAAATAAATTACCCCAAACACAGTAAAATTAACCAACACCAGACTTAGCTAAACCATCAGCCTCTATATTAGCTGTCCTAGCCACCCATCTAATAATTCCCTCCAGTTCTTTAAGTTTGACTGCTATATCCCTGACAATGGAGGCATATAAACTAGGACAAATAGCTACGTATTTAACCCAATCCACTACCATTTTACAATCTGATTCCACAATCAACCGACCCTTAATTCCTGCTCTCACTGAGTCATAGAAGAATAATCCTTCATTAACAGCCTTTAACTCCATCAGAATAGGTGGACCCGGACCAGAAGCCTTCTTAAAAGAGCCTAAAAATAGACCTTCTTCATCTCTCATAATACCCGCAATTCCACTGCTCTTCCAATCCGAACTGGTAGCTACGTCTACATTGAGCATGACAAAACCCTTAGGAGGGGGGACCAAGGGATGGTAGAGACAATCGATTTGTTGAGAGGGAAACATGAATCCCCAAGGGAAGGGTCACTGATAAGAGCATCCAAAGAAATAACAGAATCTGCAAACTTAGCTAAAAACCAAGATACAAGCCGAACTCTTGCTAAGAAAAATAAGTTAGTCTGATCTAACTTGCCTCTATCAAAGACAATATCATTCCTAACTTTACAAACAGTCCAAATAACAACAGCCGGAATAAAGTTCCAAATGTCAGAACTGTAATTCAGATCTTCCCAAGCTAGAAGAAAGTTCTGCGCATTTTCATGAAAGACCGAACAAATGCTCCAATACTGTAAAAATTTATTCCACAAAGGCCACTCTACAGAACAAGAGAAAAACAAGTGAGAAGAGGATTCATCATCTAAATTACATAGAGGACAAGAGAGATCTACAATATTCGAAACCCTTCTTTTGACCAGTTCTGTCCTAACTGGCAGCTTTTGAAGAACCACCTACCACATAAATACCTCAATCCTTAGTGGCACCAAACATTTTCACAAAATTTTCTTCCAAAAAGAATTCGCCTGAGAAGCTTGAGAACAAAACTTCAAACATGAATTAACAGAATAAAAACCAACCCCATTCCCTTTCCACAACAGTGCATCACTGGCCTCTCTAGACAAAGAAAAATTAGAAATAATTGTCATCAAATTAGTCCACTGATCAAATTCCCAATCCACCAAACTCCTCCTCAATTGAATATTCCAAATCCAACCTAAAGGGTTGAATTCACTGAACTCAATCAATTTACCACTCAGATTCGAAGATATAGCAAACAACCTTGGGAAAGAGACCTTAAGAGGGCAGTCCATTGCCCAATTGTCCTGCCAAAAGCGAATAAACTGACCACTACCAACTTGTATTCTACACAAACTTCGGAACTTTGAGCCAAAAGAGTCTTCCTTAAAATGAGTATTGTCGTAACCGGCTTTCGCCCGGGCATGAAATTTTTACTTGGCGGGAAAAGTGATGTGAATAAATGATTTTTTAATGTTTTGGGAGTCACAATCGGCCTTTTTGATCAGGTAGGTCGAATACCTAAAAATTATCTTTTAAAAGTGTTTTTAAGAAAACATCAGTTAAAAGATAAACTGGTCTGCGTTTTAACCAAAAATTCGTTCTTTTTAATAATAAAAAGGGATTCGTGGTCGATTACGTTTGGGGAAGGATTAGCACCCCACAACACCCAAAATTGGTACTTATTAATTATAAATTGCCTCTATTATTGAAAATTTAAAATTTTAAAAATTTATTTAATTCATAATCCTGTTATTTCAAATTTATTAATATAATATATTAATATCTATATTTTTAAATAATATATTTATTAAGAAATATCAGAAAAGGGCTTCTAGGTGCTTTAAGACAACTCTTTTCTTAATATAAAAAAATAACTAAATATTAATAAACATTAATAAAAAATAGATTAATATATATATTTGATAAAAGTAAAATATTTATTTAAAAATATCAGAAAATGGACATCCAGTTGCTTTAAGATTGCCCTTTCTTAATATTTAAATATTAAAAATAATAATTTTCTCTAATAAAATAAAACAATATGTGTTTTCTGATTTTTATAAGTAAGATATTTATTTATTTTTAAAATACCAGAATATGACATCTAGTTGCTTTAAGACTGTCCTTTTCTTTGATATTAAAAAAAATAAATATTTTTATTTAAACAAATATATATATATATATATATATATATATATTTATTTATATGAGTAATATAGTAATAAAATAATAATTAAAGTAATAATTTAAACATATTGAAATTGAAATGATAATAGTACAAAATAAATTGCAATTAAATAGTGACTAAAACATATAAAATTAAAATAATAGGATTAAAATATAAAATATTAAAATTTACAGCCCTTATTCGAAGTATTAAAATATAATTACTAATAGTGTAATTAACCCTAATTATTAATCGGTGATAAAAATAAAATTTATCAAAGTTAAAGGCTCTAACTCTAATAAATAAATAAATCTAAGTGCTACTAATGTAATTCAACATTATTTAATTAATTCGGGTTAAAATATAAATTATAAAATTTATAAAGGACTAAATAAGGCATTTAACCTAAATATATAATATTACTGGAAATGACTAAATTGTAATAAAATAAACTTACGAGACCAAATTAAAAGTTTAGAATTCGATTTCCAGTGACTAAAATACAGAGTTACAAAACTTCGATGGCTACGGGCATGGTTATTTCACGCGTAAAATTACGAACACACCCCTCCCCAAAACGACGCCGTTCGGGGAGGGGTATAAATACCCGTTTAAACCGGCCCTTAGGCCATTTTCCTTCATTTTTCTTTTTGGTTCTCTCTCTAAGGGAGATAACCCTCTCCCTTCTCTCTAGTTTCCTCCCCCTGGATGAACGGTGGTCACCGACCGACCACCATGAACCACCACTAACCTCCACCGCCGGCCACCATCCATGGTGGCTAGAGTTCACTCAACTATACCAAATCGAAACCCTTTTCTCCCTAAAGCCAAATTCGGGAACCTTTTTCCCCGAAAACCCTTAGATCAACCTAAATCTAAAAATTTACCTTTGATGTGTCAAGTTTTCCGATGACTTTTTGGCTTCCTGAAGATGGTAAGTCTTCTTCTCAGATTTGTTTCTCGGTTGGTTGTTGGTTATTTTGTATGTGTGTTCATCCTTACTTGCTGTCTGTTTCTCCTCTCTTAGTTTTGTGTTTCTCTCCTCTTCTGTTATGTTCTCTCCTTGCTGTTTGTGTCCTTTTTTATTTTGCAGGTGGTGGTGGCTTTTATAGCCACCATGGTGCTCGTTATGGACTGGTCTTAGAGGGGTTTCTCGGTGAGTCACCGAACTATGTAGTGACTCACCATATAAAAGTTGTAATGGATGGTTAGTGTAGAGATTCTGGAGGCTTCGTCGAGGCGTGGCAGCTGTTTTTGGAGTCACCTGGCAGTAGAGCGTCGGCAACGAGCGGCGGCGGCGCCGCGTGGTCCCTAGGGTATCATAACCCTAGGGTTTCTTATTGGAGAGCTTTGGACCGTTTGATCTTGCCAAATCCAACAGTGGAGATTATTGGCGGCTGGCTCAGATGATGGAAACCCTAGAAGGGTTCTGCTGGGCCTGGTCGGGTTGGGTTTATTTGTAATTGGGCTCTGGGTTTTGGGCCATGTAATATTTATTTAAATAATAATAATAATAATAATGTAAAATAATAAAAATAAAAATAAATGCAAACTAAAAAATTAGTGTCTACATATGCCCTTCTTTGCTTATTCTTGGGTTAACAAGAATAGAGCAAAGACGAAAAAGACAATAATTTTCCATTTGGCTTCTTTTTAAGTAGGATGAAAATGTTGAAAACATTCTGTCCAGAGGTCTTATGAATGGCTCTGAAGTCTTATCATCTTGCACTGTAGGTCTTACAGATGACCCTGAGGCTTTAAGATCAAGAAACCTTTGAAAATCAGTTTCTTAATATCTCATTTGAAAATATCCTACACTGTAGGTCTTACGAATGGCCCTGAGGTCTTATCATCTTGCACTGTAGGTCTTACAGATGACCTTGAGGCTTTAAATGTCAAAAAGCTCCCGAAGGCTTTTTGAAAACATCATGCACTGTAGGTCTTACAGATGACCCGGAGGCTTTAAGATCATCAAAAAGCTCCAGAAGGCTTTTTTGAAAACATCCTGCACTTTAGGGCTTACGGGTGACCCTGAGGCTTTAAAAACGTCAAAAAGCTCCCGAAAGCTTTTTAAAAACATCATGCACTGAAGGGCTTAAAGATAACCCGAAGGTTTTGAAAACATCATGCACTGAAGGGCTTACAGATGACCCTGAGGCTTTAAAATCAAAAAGCTCCCAAAGGCTTTTTGAAAACATCATGCACTGTAGGTCTTAAGGATGACCCTGAGGCTTTAAAATCAAAAAGCTCCCGAAGGCTTTTTGAAAACATCATGCACTAGGTCTTACAGATGTGGGAAATAGTTTACTAAGTAAGAAACTATGAAAATCGTTTTCTTACTATTCAACAATTTCATTTTTAGAAAAGATTAAATGAGAAATTTTGGAAATCGTTTTCTCATTGAAATAACTTGTTGATTGGGTAACATACCCCATTTTAAAATAATGCTTCTTTTGTGGATTGCGTCCATTTATTCTTTAGATGTTTGCGTGATTCCTGCATTTGTTGTTTTGAATACATTCTTCTTATAAGGTATTTTTCACCATGAATCTTCTTGTTCATATGAAGATCTGTAAAACTTCATGTTTGAATGCACTCAGATGTATCAATGTAATGCATTGTCTATTGTGTAAATAATATTCTTATGAATGCATGAATGTTGATGC